CGGATAGTCTGTGAAGAGAGGACTTAAACTTGGAGGCAAAGAAATATAGTTGTTGTTGGAGCCGTTACCAGGAAATGTCGAGTAACAGACAGAGAACACTAAACTGTGTGCTCTAGCTAAATAGCGATAGTGTTATAGTTATTTGTAGCTACGACCTGTAAGTGGTCAATAAATACTTTCACCAAGCCAGGCCAGTCTATAGTCATAGATACTCCTACGTGGCCGTACAGAAGTTTAATTTCAAGGGAAGAAGACAATTGGGAGACGTAGGCGTAAATGAGAGGATAATATTAAAGTAACGTTATGTGGGTATTTGGACCGGATTCGTCTGCCTCAGGATATGGTCCCAATGGCTGCTTTTTTAGCGTTGTAACAGAAACTTCGCGTTTCACAGAAGGCGGTGAATTTCTTGATTATCTGAGCGGAGCTCTTCCTGTCTGAAGGAGGCCCTCTGCTGTACGGAATTAGTTCAGGTATGCACATCGTATAGCATGTGGTTTGTTCTACCACCGTCTTAATCAGCTTTCAGTAATTCAGTATCTTGTTGCTTACAAGACTTTTACTGCTGTGTATGGCCCCTTTGATCCTCCCTTGAACTTTCGACCCCTCGGAAGTTCTTGCACGTAAGTAAGCAGCAACAAGGCAACAGAGGAATACTTGGCAGACAACAGAAGCAGTGAATTAGACTCTTGCCACTTCCTGCCTTATTCTAGCCTCTGGTCCTTGTTGTAGCTTGCAGAACTTCACAAAGATTCCTCTGAGGGAACACATAACCACTCAACCATTTCAGAACTAGGAAAGTACACTGTATATCACGTGTATAGAGGGTTTGGTTTAAGAAAGGACAGGAAGATTATCAGTACTTGAAGGTAAGTATATATTCCACACCGTGCCTCCTCATGTTAAAGCAGGTGAACTTATCCCTCTCTCGTGTGTAATCAGTGCATCAGTGTGAAGGGATACAGGATCTCAACGTAATGTTTCCGGTGTTACAGCTAACTGCACTACATAAACATTGTTAACACCCTCCGGAACCGACATATAGAAGCGTGTGATGGTTCCCATAGCCTCTCTGGGAATTTGTACTTAGTACAAATTGTGTAACTCGTCAGCTCACAGTTTTATGTTTGTAATTTTCTATCAAAATTAGAAAGCTACGCTAATGCGCTAGCAGTGAAACTAGACAATAGCGAAACTACACATAGGCTGAAAGATACTCCGTCCTAACTCTGCCAGACAGGCCTGAGCAAAACCCCGATACGAGCATTAAAATGATATCTAATTGAACAGAATGAAAAAGAATATATGAGTTAACGCCACTGGGCATAACTCATTCATAAGCTAATACTCACTGAACATATACATTTATTGCAGATTCTATATTATAACGTGCGAAGAGATCTTTCACATATTTTTAATAGGGCTGCGCAATAGCTCAAGCGGTTAGTCGCTGGCTTCTAACCGCGGCGGCCCGGGTTCCATCCCGGGTCTGGTCAAGTGGAATTTGTGGGTGACAGAGTGGCGCTGGGTCCGGTCACAATAGCCGAGCGTTCTAAGGCATGTACTATCTTCGCTCGCTTGGAAACCGTGATCGTGGGTTCGAATCCCACTGAGGGCATCAATGTTTAGTTTTGTGTGTGCGTTTTTCTGTGTTTGTGTACAGGTAGAGGCCTTGCGACGAGCTGAACACCCGCCCAAGGAGTCCTACCGAATGTATAAGCTCTAGAAAAACCGAAGTGAACGGAGACGTTCATGGAGGTAGGCCTAGGCCCACTGGGGTTATAGTGCCAAGGGAAAAAAAGTGGCGATGGGGCAGGGTTTCTCCGAGTACCTCGGTTTCCCCTGCCAATCTTCATTCCACCAATTGCTCCACAATCACCCTCAGCTATCATCTTGGGCTGGTACAACAGGCCAGAAGTGTCCGCAGTGCAGGGGTCTTAGTCCCACCCCAATAGCAATAAAAAGATAATATATTATAATAAGTTCAAACCAGAGGTTTTTGGGAGACAGACATTCATGGTGACATAAGCTAAGGCTGTGATATGCTAAGAATACAGATAGAAAGTTATTTAAATTCTAAATGTGTGTTTATATTAAAATAGGTGCAACTGTCCCTATGCTTAATTAATTAAGCACTATGCCATGAAGACATATGGGGGAGTGGAAGTTACAGCTTCACAATTCTGGACCTTGGCACTGGATGGAGATGAGTCTTTAGCTTCACGCCCCAGCCGCCTTACTCCCGGGTGAAGAGCTTTCGGTACGCTTTGGATAGGAGGCCGAGTGGTCCCCTCAGCCGGTCTGGGCGCTATGTAGAAGAGAAAAACATTGTTTCCCCTACCGGGAAACGAACCTCAGCCATGTAGCCCGTCGCTATACCGACTGAGTTGTCCCGGCTCATGCCTTTGTTGTTGTGAATATAATTATTTAAACATTAGGCTTATGTAAAGCAGATTCCTTTTTGAAAAGCTGGTAGTGGCAGTACTACTCAAGAAACACCCGCACTTTATGAAACCCGAATATTTATTACCCTGTTCAAAAGAGCTAGTCAGTGCTTTCTGTCTTTAACTGCATGCGTTCAGTCTACAGCTCATCCTGTCTCTGTTCTTAACATATAAGTATCATGCTACTTGGTGATGTTTGACTCTTAGGTTATTCAGTGTTGCAGATGTTACTGCCATAGGTCTACAGCGACGAATGAGATAGATATATCATCATGAATAGCGAATACTTAAAGTAGATATATCATCATAAATAGCGAGTAATCAAAGAATTTGAAAGACAATCGTTGCCGGTTTCAGTGCAGTATCCGAGGAGATTTTGTCAGGATTGGAAAGTGTGCGTCGCAAATCCAAGAAGGCAAAGTTACCTTTACATCACACAGTTGTTATCATTACTGTTGTAATAAACCTCGAGGCTGACCGCAACATCAGCACCATCTGTTGCACGAATGGGACGCCAGTCGAATTTGATAATGCGATGTAAAAGAATGATTAATTGTTCAGCATGTAGTAATTCACACTCCCACGCGTTCAAAGAAAGTCTGAGCCTGATATGCATTTAGAAGATGCATTTGAAAGTGCTTTCCTTTGTTCTGATTTATTGCTAGTTGAAATGGCCTGAGCGTTTATCTCTTCAGGAAAAAAAATAGGTTTAAACTCTTTCCGTGCTAGGGACGTACATATACATCCTTTGAAATGTTAGCTTCGGTTAGGACGAGTAACGTTAGATTAAGTGAGGTTAGGTTAGATTAGTGGGAAGCTCAGTCGGTGTAGCGACTGGCTACGGGCTGGAGGACGGAGGGGTCGGAGTTCGAGTCCCGGTGAGGCAAGAAGTTTCACTTCTCCATGCCCAGACCGGCTCTGGGGTCCAACCTCCTATATGGTGGGTACCTGAGGCTCTTTTCTCGGGGGTAAAGCGGCCGGGGCCTGAAGCTGACCACTCAGCTCCAACTAGTGCCCAGGTGAAGAAAATGTGGCTTTGTACATCGACTCCTCATATGCCCTCATGGTGTGGTGCTTAATTAAATTCAGGGACAACTTTACCTTTACCTTAGGTTAGATTAGTCTGATTTCGGTTAGTTTATGTTAATATAACGAAAGTTACTTTACGTTACGCTGTGTTGAGATACAGACGTCTGTATGGCCTTTGACGCTCCTTTGTTCTAAATTAGCAAAACCACTTGTCGTGGCAAGTTAAACCAATGAAATATTGGCAGCGTTGTCCCTGTGCTTAATCATTGAAGTACTATGCCACGAAGATATGTCGGAGCTCCACAGTTCTTGACTAGATGGAGGTGAGTAGTCAGCTTCACGTCCCGGCCACTTTATCCCCGGGAAGGAACCTCCAGATACCCTTTGGATATGAGGTTTAGTAGACCCTAGAGCCAGTCTTGACACTGTGGGGAAGGGACAAAATTCTTGCCCCTGCCCAGAATCGAATCCCGGCTGTCCCGACTGTAGTCCCTGACTCCTTTTACAGCCTGAGAGCTGGAGGCGGATGCACCTCTGAGTGAGTGACGGACACATAAGGGGAGAATCGGACGAAAGAAGACAGTAAAGAAAGTGGGGAGTAAAGCTATCCTTGTTGCAGACCGTGGAGGCCCATGGGATTGTGAGACGTCGAGGTTCCCACATTTTCTAGATAGTCGGCTCACAGATGGCAGTGAGGCTGTCAGCCTTACGTGCCGGCCACCCTTTACCCCCAAGAATATTCCTGGTACTCATTTGTGTTAGAGACTGAGAGGACTTCAGAGCCATAGTGTGGCTGGAAAGATTATCTCAATTGAAAAATCTGTTTACCTCTTTGGGAATCGAACCCGCGACTTTCCGGCTTGTAGCACAGTGCCTGAACCAACTAGGCTATCACTTGCCTCCCCAAGAGAACGACAATAGAACAGATGAAACAAAGATACTGCTGGGAAACTGCTTGGCAGGACGAACAATTTAGGTATGTGTTAAACGGATAGTTTTATTCATTTATGGATGTGTGGGTAGGTGATGGAAGTTTAATTTATGTATTTAAAGCACTAATGGCCATGACCATGCACGGTGAAACAAGGTCACGAGAGGTCTTAACCTATACTTCAATCACTTTTCCGTACGGTTTTCCAGTTTTGTTTGTTCTCGCCGTACCTGCTAGCAGCAGTGTCGTACAGAACGTAATGGCCCTGCGGTCACTCGATTTGTCTAATTAATAGCTAACGTCATATCTGCTTTTTAATCTTCGGTTTAAGCAGTGTTTGTCAACCTGGAGTAAGATGACGGAAATATAACTATATTACGTAAATATCATTGACTTTTATGCTTATTGGAAATCTAGACATAATTGGTCGGTATAATATTAAAAAAAGATCGCAGTGAAATAGTGAAACTGGGAGGTATATTAATCTGGCTGATGATAACTGTCCATTGACGGCTTAATTTGATGACCCCCAAAGATTTAGTTCATACCGAAGTTCTGTTTATATTGTCTTTGTAATCTTTTCTTTTTTGTTTCAGGTAAGGGCCAGAGCGTCTGTGATCCGGGACCAGCTTTCAGGCGTCGCCGTTATGGAAACAGTGACATATTGGAAACCTTGTAAGTAATGAATAGGCGTCAGAGAGTTGACATGTTGTTAGTGGGGCGTCATCACATCTAGTTATTTTGAAATCCCATTTTCTTTTCTTGTAGGTCACTTCAACCGAAATTTCAATAGGTAATAAAATAAGCACATGCTTAGTGAATGTAAGTTCTTCATTAACCCCATAAAGCCCAGTGTTTTCTGTGCTTGCCACATGCTTTAACATATTAAAACACTGCATTCTGTCCACCAGAGTGTGTTTGTGTTTCGTACGGACCGCGTCTGTGCTCTTGTGGTCAAAGTTTCTGCCCACAAATGAGGGGTCCCGGGATCGATTTCTTGTGCTACCAGATTTTCTGAGAATTCGTGGGTCTAGAACTGTGTCCTCAGCCTCGTGAGGATAATTGAATAGCTGTTTCAAGGAAATAGCGGTTCCCGTCTAGAAAACCGAGATTGACGGACGTGGGGATCCGTTTCTCTGACCACGCAACACTCCTTTCCGCTAAAATTGGCACTAACTTCACCGACAAGCGGCGGTCGCTCGGTCGGCATAGTTAGCTAGCGGTCTACAGGCCACAGAGTTTAATGGTTCTCACAAAAATAGCGACTGTTTCCCTTTGTAGCGCGGATGTAATGGGTTTCCTGTGAGGTACGAACTCAGTCATTCAAACAGATGCATTCTGAACCTCCTGGATCACTGAAAGTGGCCTTAAATTCTTTCCCATTTTTACGAATGCGAGATTTGAGGTTCTGACAGTGGTGACTATGAAGATACTGTGTCCAGGGTTGTGTCGCTTTTGTAGTGTGGTGGATGTTCACCGGATTTTGGAAGAAACATGCTTCAGGGTCGAGGAAGTATGAAGTTCTACCTTGAAGATGAGAGCTTGCCTTCCTCGGGAACGTCGTTGAGCATTTACCAAACTGTACGGAGCCACATCCCAGAAGATATAAATCTTTATTTCTGGTTTACTTTCCACATTTTGAAAAAAAAAAGAAGCAGGATTATGAGATTATTTTGGTGTCTGTGTATCCCCCCTATCGTTGCTAGGCAACGACCCGCTTAGCGCGTTCCCGCTCCAACGAATACACACGCGACAACGGAAGAACTGTTGGAAGCGGTGTTTTGTGTCCTGTCGGTTTCGCATCAAATGTTCAAATGCAGTGAAAGAAAGTAGGTGAATATTTCCTCCCAGAACTTCTGGTTAATATCACATGACATAATGGAAATTATGTTGCACACAATTTGCGTGTTGTTGAAGTTAATGAAACTTGCCCCATTTTCTGTCCTGAATCTTGGATCAAAGAACGGGTAACAAAATATTTATTACATGTCTGCTTGCATATCCCACGCTATATATCACTGCAGGAACCTAACAGCTATTCCGCGTTTGTTTGTGACTGAAGTATTAAGAAGTTCAGCAAAAAGAAAGATCTACATCCGATTGTGTTAAATTATAAAGGTAAAGCTATCCCTGTAACAGGCCATGAAGGCCCATAGGGCTGTGAGTCGTCGAGCCTCCCGCATTTTCTAGACAATCGGCCCACAGATGGCGGTGAGGCTGTCAGCCTTTTGCGCCGTCCGCCCTTTACTTTCCAGGAAGATTCCCGCTACTCATTTCTGTTAGAGGCTTAGTCGACCCCAGGGCCATAGTGCGGCTGGAAGGGTTAGGTAAATTAAAAAAATCAACATCGGCACTCGAACCCTCGACCTTCCGGGTTGTAGCATAGTGCCTCAACCAACTACGCTACCGCGTGCCCCCCATACTTTGATGTAGACATGTATAATAATACTATATAAAGATGATTTACGAGCGGCCATTTATGCGAGCTTTTCGTGGGAGATTGTCTTAAACACAGTAACGGACGTACAATTCGATAGAAGCATCTACACGAGCGCACAAAATGCGACCGTTGTAACCAACGTCGTTACGTCCATTGTAGAAATAAACAAGAGAGGAGAATGCTACGCTTTCTTCTGTCTCCATTGCAGACAATAAACTACGCACCGCATTCTGCAACTGTATGGTGTCCTCAGCAACATCCGTCATAAAGTACGTTCGTTACAACGGAAGAATTTTGTGCGCTCGTGTAGACAGAGACACAAGGTACGAATTTGTGATTCTAAGACAGGTTAATATGGTTCTACGATAGAATCCAGTGATATCACATTTTTTTTTTCTTCGAATATCAGCAAACACCAATGTCATCATTAAGTAGAAGATTCTCCTCTGGCTGGGTCCGATTTGGAAACAATCGTCCAGGTTCTCAAAACATTTCGCTAATTAGCTTAATGTTTTACTACCGAAAAGAGTAAGACAACATGAGCAGTACTTGTAGACGTAATTGCAAAAAGAAGAGATTTCCTGGAGAAATGCTTAAATGCTTCCCTGCAGCGGTGTGCTCTGTTCTCCGTGTCCGTATTGTTGATGCCACTGAAACTTTTACATTGGAAGCATAATGTTACATGATGGCCGAATGCCGGAATAGTGAAGTCAGATTCAACGTTCATTGCTAAGCAACGACTCTGTAAACACATTCCAGCGGCAACGAATACGCAAACAGGAAGCGCTGTAAACACGCCTTCCCAACAGTGTAGGTGCTGTCCCCCTCCCCTCACGTGACAGTATTCAGTACCCGGATTCGGGAAGACGGTGGCTTTAATTGCGTGATTGCACGTGACCATGATGTGGCATTTAAACCAATCATCGTGAATCCGCCGGCCTTACTGTAAGCTTCGGTTTATGGATTTTACAACTTAATATAATTTATTTGGCGAAAATTGTTTCGGGCGGTTGTTTCATCGTATTTTTTTTAAACATGAGACCAAAGGCCCAGGAATCTGATTTTACGGATGCAAGCTAGAAACTTTGTACTTAGGATAATTCTTTTATGCTTCAGGTGGATGAATCAGTTATTTTGCAGTGAATTTCGAGTGTATAATTATTGAAAGCGAGAGACACAGAATGCCGATGTTGCCAAGTCATACTAATGAATAGATGAAGCATCCGTGGGCCAAGCAATATCAGGTTACGCTGTAACCCTGTCTTTGTTCCAGCCTGACCAAATATCAGCTAGACGCCTTGTTAACAATAGCACACCACGTGTTGTGTGTCGCTCATTTGAACTTTGCAGGCGCATTTATTCGTCAGGAGGTGGTTTATTGTAATTATATGACGGATCCGGGGCCATTAAAATCTTCAGAAAGTAGGAAATGTATAAAGAGCCTGATAGCTACAACCGATCACGACACAAACATGGAACTACATTTACGTCACAGAGAGACACTTAAGTCCAAAGAGGCTTCATTCTTAATGTCTCCACTGGGAATTACAGCTACAGCTTTAGGAGCTTCAAGTAAAGAAAAAGAATAAAGAAAGAAACTGGAAAGAATGTGAAACAAAGAGAAAAATAGCTGTTTCCTTGTTTCAGTACTGGTGTAAATGCAACTTGAACTACGGTAAAGGAAATAGAAGGAAAAAAGAAAGAAATGCTTATGCTTTAAGGTGTGATTGGGCCTTAAAAGTTGCGGGCTTCAGTTGAAGTGAAACCCTGAATTATCTGGATATTTAACGACTCCGTTTTAGCCTGAGAGACTATGTGCTATAGCTTGGAGTCCGATAGAACAAGGTTGTGGATATATGGTAAATAGTAATGTTGCCACGTCGCGATTTCAACTTTTGTGTTGATTTCATGAGGGAAATTATAAAACGTGTGCCCTTTGTGGTAACCGAACCCCAGTCCCTCGGTCATCCAGCCCCTAACCCATAGTCCAGACTAAGCTGCAGTGATTTAAAAAAAAAATATGAGCAAACAAGTAGTTCTGGGAAGAAGTAATCGCCTACTACTGTTTGGTACTACACGGACCTCATAGAAGACGACTCGTTCAGTAATTTTTTTATTGTTGCGCGTGTGTTAGTTTCCACGGTAAAGTTTTTACCCAGCCGTTGGCTAGTAACGATAGGGGATTACACATAGATACAAACGGGAAGTACGCCGTTGAGATGGGCTCAGGTGTCTCGACATACATACCAAGTTTCATAAAGATTGGTTCAAGCATTCAGAAGTTAATAGAGGTGCTTTGCGGGCACAAAAGCATCATGGTGATCTCGTATGCCTAATTTAATTTTTTCAATATAAGGAAATCAGACTAAAATAGTAAATATTTCAGCATTATTTGCCGTTGAATTTGTGAAATTTCCTTTTTTCTATACTGAAATACTTTAATTAATTATAAGTAATTTTATATTTTATAATAATAGCAGATTTCAGTTCCGTCGATGCTGTTTGTTTGAGACGGACATTAATGTATTCGTTTCTACATAAGGTTCTTTTATCTCTGTCTCCTGTTACAGGGAGGCATAAGCCAATTCCTTTCTTCCAGTTTTCTATCTTACATCTCTCCCAACTTTAATAACATTCGCCATCTTTTGTACACGTTTATTTTGATTTGTTGAAAATAAAAGCCCTTCTTAAAACATTTCAGAGGTACAGTGATTCCCCGGGGGAACATTTCGGGGAGCAGAGAGCTGTCTGCTTCAGTTTTTATCCCTTTTTGCTTGAAAAACAGTTTGTTTTCTTGCAGTCTGTTTTCACTCTGCTTTTCCATTGTACCTCTGAGCAAAATAGAAACCGTACTTTAACTTTCTTAGGGAATATGTCAGATAATTAAGATAGGTTGACCTTAAATGAACTTAATGTTGCAGTCATTGTCAGATTTCTACTCCATTTTGCCTTACCGATAAAGATATAAATGGGTGTGTGTGTGTGTGTGTGTGTGTGAGGGCTGCATTGTATGGGGTAAGTTCACACTGTCGCGCGGCAGTCATTTCTGATTTTCTTCTTATTACAGTTCTTTCACAACGTAGTGAATGATATAGTAGCCATAAAATACAGAGCCTGGCTTTTTACATTTTCCCCTGCTTTTGATTTTCAGATTTCTTACTGACTAATATTACCAGTTCATCGTCAGCTACTGAACTGCACGGAGACAATGCATTTGTTTATTTCGCGAGTCACG